GTTTCAAAGACGAAGGTTGAAAATTTAGAAAAATGTGATGTAGTACTGTGGAAGTGGTCGAATATGGCATACATTCGGGTCATGGCAGTTTGAAGTCAGAAGTCAACTGCCAGTTAATAGACTTTTTTGCCGTATGAGTATACGTTGCCCAGGTGCACCAAGTGGAGGTAAGTCTATCGCACACCCAGTCAATCACTGATTATAGACACTTATACTCAGGGTTGATGCGCAAAGAGGTGACTGCACATATGTTAATGATAAGTTCATCGGTAAATTATAAGACCTAGCTTGGTGATATGATCAATTTCACTTACCTCACAAATATTGCCCCAAATCGTATTACGACATTTTTATTTTTAATTGTGCCTGACGTAATTTTAAGAGCTTGTCCAAACTGTCAGAGAAAAGCGAATTGTTTGATATCATATCCTGCACGTCACCTTAGAAAGTTGAGTTTTGAAGAAGTAGAATAATATCAACAAAATTTGCAAGTTAGGAGTGGACCAATATTTTCTTCAATCTCCTTATTCCCCTCACTAAATTTCGTTCAAATAGAGTTACGTTTACCAGGTGGAAACGTTATCCTTTAAAATTAGACTTGTTAATTTGTTCACTTTTTCAGTTCTACTTATTTGGAGAATGCATGCTCTGACCTCGTCTGACCTTAAATAGTTCTTACATTTTTCCATAAATTCCCTGGGAGGATAAATAAATCCTTTTGCTTCTGAGCTCTGATAAAAGAATATCTAGCAGTTAAAAAGGTAGTATCCAAGGCGTAAACCAAGCACCATCTTAGCGATTATTGGGCAAAAGAACATTCGTGCAAATGATCACAACTCATGCCTAGCAAATGATGACAACGCGAACTTATTTTTTTGTACAAATTTAATGACGCAGAAGATAATATGACCTGATATTTCCGTGGATATGCAATTACTGTTGATGAGTGCCCTAAAAACACAACGTCAATTCTGAACATCATTATAATAGCTTTTTAAACAAATCTCTCAGTGTATTCGAAAGTATTCCAAGGGGAGATAATCACATGATGGCATTCTTCCTTCAACTAAATAATCCTCTATTTATCAAAAATAATAATAACCTCTTTGGTTATGATTATAAGAAAATACGTTTCTTTTTAAATTTTACCTAAAGGCGTTCAAATGGTTCAATAAAATTCATAGGATATACACTTTACTTTACGCCTAGGATTTCATCGTTAATGGTGAGAGTGAAGACAACTAATTTCATAGGAAGTCTTTATCAACGCAATTATATTTTGCATCATCAGTACCCGGCAAAGGATCGATGACGCGCCCATTAAGGGACAAAACTAAGCCCAAGTAGAAGCAGTTACAAGCCAGAAGCTGCTAAACTCAAATTAAACGGGAGTTTGAACACGCGCGCATCCATCTCTAAGCCCAGCCAACACCCACGCAACACGCACTTCACGCGTTCATACATATAGGGACAAGTTCTTCAGCTCACGTCCTCTCATAGTAGTTGCGACACCTACATGGTGCGAGGTCCCTAATGCTACGCATCTACGCGCATGCACTGCATGCTGCGTTCACACAGTGAAAATACGTCTAGGTCGTTTTATTGGTTAATTTCAGTGAGCTAGTGAGTAAGTGGTCAGCAGTCAAATCGTTCACTTGGTCATACAACGCACTTATAAGCGCACCCGCACCTCAACGTTGAACGAAAATCACGCGTGTTGGTGCGAACGTGGCGGAGGATGGTGTACGCACTCAAATGCGCAAGCTGAGTGAAGCGAAATTTCGCGGCAGAATGAGCGTTTTAGTGGGAGACTGGAGCGAACCTACAGACCGGATTTGTGGATGTTTTATTTTTTAATCTGAGGGACGGCTTATATGTTGCTTAGCCTATATCCCGAATATCGATTTCTGTCATTTTCATTTCACCATCCGACTTCTCCATCACATGACTCAACGATAATGTATATAGAACGAATTCACTATGACTAGGATTGCATCCCCAGAGGAAGATTATGCAAATAGCCGGAGTCCTATTGATTGCAGCGTAAGGGAGGGTCATGGAGCCTGTAGCGCATCAAGTTCAAAGCCGGGAATGGCATCATTGGGATTTCTTGCAGCATCTGCAATGCAAGAAAGACTGCAGGGTAGTTCCCAGACTTCATTGAATTACCATCAACCCTGTTATGTGCACAGACCAGAACAAGGTACCCTTAATCCAGAAAATGACCCTGATGCGCAGCCAATAAAATCTGGGAATAAACTTCTCTTCATCTTTTCCGAGGAGAATGTAATTCGGAAATATGCTCGGATTATCATCGATTGGGGATATCCTTTTACATTTTATTCCCATTTAACCATGTACAGATAAGTTTATGCAATTTAAGGGACTTTCATTCAGAATTTACGTTTTTGAAACCTGACTACAGAATAGCTTCCCGACAAATGGGTCATAATTCTTTTCCACAGCAGCTGATCTTATACAAATTGGGCCAATAAGGAACTTTTCTTAAAAAGAAGCAATAAGTTTGCATTTTAGCCTGCAAATCGTTAGTATCGAAAATAAACGAGCCGCAGTCTACTCTAACAGGAAATGAGATGCTGAATTTTGCTGAGGGTTTAAAAATCCTCTTAAAAATTTTCGCTCACTTCCAGAAATAGCAATAGTAGGAGTTCTTTAAGCTTAGAACTTAACACCTTTGTGACTAGTTTGCTTTCACTTAACAATATTCATGCCTGCTAAATTCGTATAACCTAATTGAAGGGCTTTGATTAGTAACGTTCAATGTTGAATACGGTAATGAAGGATCTTTTAAGTTCTCATGACATTTATCGATTTAGAAATCGGTATTTCGTAGCAAGTTGAGGTCGGTCCACACTTCACAAATTTCCTTTTTACCACATGTTTTTTATAAAAATACTTAAATATGTGACTGGTATGGACCATATGTACTGTATAATGATTCTTTGAACATTTCCAGTATGTAGTAACTAATATACAACTTCGTTGGTAAAGATTATACGTAAAATGTAAGGAAGCGTTTAACTTCCATTTCACCTCAAATCTTTTTAATTATAAAGTGAAATTTTTAAATAGAACCTTATTGCTATATTTCAGGGGATAACATGAGGGAGTGTTTGTGTATTGTCTTTACGTTAGTTAGTATAGCCTTCAGTGACAATAAAATTATCTTGCTGTTTTGCCCAAAACCTTTCCTATTTTCCCTAACTATTGATTTGTGGTTTACGCCTTTCGAGTATATGGTTTTGCTCACAATCACTGCCAACTGCATCGTCCTTGCGATGGAACGTCATTATCCATCAGGTGATAAATCAGCATTGAGTGAAAGTCTTGTAAGTGTTTTGACAACCTCTTTCCTCCCTCTTGCAAACATAATTTTATTAATTTTATTTGTCCCCACCCCCACCCCCCTCACTATTTTAAGGAGCAAACAGAAAAGTACTTTCTCGGAATATTCTGCGTTGAAGCTCTGTTAAAAATCGCCGCCCTTGGATTTGTCCTGAATGAAGGAGCTTATCTACGAAGTATTTGGAATATTATCGATTTCATTGTCGTGGCCACTGGGTACGTGAATACAGTTAACCTTGTAGACAATTTTATTGATTAATAAGGCCGCATCAAATATGGTCAATTAATATATAGTTAAGGCGTGAGCATAGTTTTATCTATCTGTTAACTTTAAGACGACACATGAATTAAGTTAATTGTTTATTTCAACTTGAAAGTTAAAATTTTAGAGTTTGGAAAAAACAAAGAAGGACCGTTGAAATTTTTGGCCAAACGAAATCTCCCAGTCTATAATTGGCTATATATGAAAGAATATAGTTGCCATGAGTTGACAATTAAGAGAAATTTATTCATGAGCTCACTCCAAAGCATATTCTTATTCTGCCATTTTATGGATAAAAGTGAGCATTAATAGTCCTTTAAGTAAAAAAATAGATTGTTTTTACCGATAGGAAGTTGAATGTTAGACATCGATTCACTAAGAAAACCCTATTTCCCCGTTAGTAAATGATTATGGAAATCAAACTTTCAGCCAATGAATTGTTACATTTACCCTTTAACTTAAACTTAGTTTGTAAGCTTAATGATTACTTTGGTTTATAGAAATAAATAATTAAATTGTTATATCTATATACATCAATACATATTTTCAAGGAGGATGTCATTTGAATCTCCAAAAGTTTCCAGTTATAGTCTAAAATAAAATAAATTTAAATCGTCCTAACCAGTGTTTCCATTAATATTTTATGAGGCAGATGTAAGGACATTGGAATACGTCATTCGGTCATAGTTGGGAACGTCTACCAAATTGCAAGAAAAAAGAAAGAAAGAAATGATTTGCTCATAATTTTGAAATGTTAATTTTAAAACTACTACGACCTCCCAAATGCAGTTAAATGTCCCCCCACTCCTAATTTTTTCGCAAACGTGGAAAAAATAGCTATTGTGCTCAGAAAACAATAACATAGCGCCTTCCTCTCTTTTTAAGAAGAAAAAAACAGTTTGAATTGAATAGTTGCAACTTAAGAAGTAATAAAAGACCGTCCATTTAAAGCCCATACATCTTATTCATATCTAGGGTATTAGCAAAGTATACTACTTATTTCTCTTTCAGCCTATTGGCTTACATTTTGCCAAACCTCAATCAACCGGCATTGCGAGCACTCCGAGTTTTGCGACCGATCAAATTGGTCACCGGTTTTGAGAGTGAGTAGTATTGTGTGCATTTCATAGCGCAGCCTTCCATCAATGGTTTCTTAATTTAATTTCTTAATTAAAGGCCTTCAAATTGTGCTCAAGTCCATCTTCCGAGCTATGGCGCCTCTACTTCAAATTGGTCTATTATTGCTCTTTGCAATCACTATCTTCGCAATTGTTGGATTAGAATTTTATTCTGGAGGCTTCCATATGACCTGTTTCGATGAACGTGAGCTTAAATTGCTCCCTTCCAAAGTTGTTACTTTATATCATTGCTTTGACATAACAGCTTGCTCAAGTTTAGACTAGGGCATATAAATTGTTTGAACAGCCCTACATTTGCTTATCCATATCTCAGAGTTCGATTCGCATAGGGAACGGTACACTGAGTTTATTGATTTACCATGCTTTTGCAGATCAATTTTGTTCTTACTCCTTGAAATCCCGATTGGATTCATAATCGTTCCCTTCCCCCCCCCCTTCTTACCACTAGATTACTCCAGCTACTGGAGAGTGTTAATTGTTTGGACTAACTTTGATCCTAAAGCGTTTTAACTTTTCTCCATTCGAATGTGTCAAGAGCTGATACCTTCTAGATCATGTTCGTCTGTGTGCCAATATATCCATTTCTCGAGGAGTTCTGATTTAGCTTCTAAATGTGAAAGAAGTTGTGGCGCCCGTGAAGTATTTAATAGGTCCTCTATTAATTTCAAGGCGTATTTTTTTCATAACTTGAGCAAAATTGTCTTTCATTTTTAACTGACGGTGAAATTAGTAATCACCGGTTATTTTCAGTGGGCAGTTAGTAGGGTTTTGCACATTCAAGACTACCGAAGCGATTAACTTGGAAATTCAATGCGCCTTCTATGTTTACTTTTTCCCCCTATTGAGATAATAGATAAAGAGCGTGAAAAGTGCAACAACAACTTGTTCAACTATATTTGCTATGCAAATAACCCAGCATAGTGATAAATAGACCAATCGGAAATGTTGCTCCAGCCGTATAAATTGAATGTTAAATGTGTCGTGAGGATGGGAGATTTGAAGGGTGTTAATTACTATTAAATGGTATATGGCGAGGGTTCCAAAATACTATGAAGTTAATTTAGTTTTATTTAATGTTTAAAAATATTATACTACAACTTACTTTGGGACGAATAAGTGGGATGGCGTCTTGAATACTTCAAACAAATCAAGGGATATGAATCTAACAGTGCTCAAGTTCCAAATCGACTGGATCGTGGTTATCGAGCCAATTTTCAAGTACATAGAGTCACTTTTCATTGCAATAAGATTTAACTTTTAAATGATACTAAAATTGAGAACCTTTATAATCCTCAGCATATCCCAGAAGTGTGTTAAACAACTCCATCACTGAGGTCGTTAAAATGTTATTAAAGAATTTTGAAAATATCTCAGGGGAGGAGACTTAATACCATGTAGACGTAAAGGGAGATAGAATCGGAGCTACTATTTTCAGTCGTTTTGTACCTAAGCGTATCAATAGCAACTTACTTACCATGCCTCAGTTTTTCTTATTGAATGAGTATTTTGAGGTGTCGTTGTGCCATTTTATTGCTCTTTAAGGAATAATGGGCGTGTGTGTCATGTTACTCTTTAAAGAAATTTTTCCTTTTCCGCTATGTGTGGATACAATTATCATTTTCTCTTTACAGTTATCTGGGCTTTCAATTCTGTTTGTAGTAGCATCTTAGGGTTATACTCTATGCGTTGTTCGCATTCTGTTTTTTGAACGATTCAATTTTTTATTCAACTCTCATACTCTTCTTTCTTGCTATTCCAAACACCTTTCTGGGCATCGTATTAATAGGATCTGCCTTCAAACTACGGGGAATTAACGTATGTAACCGCTAGGGCGCTACGAGAAATCTAAAAAATATAGTAGTGAAGTTTAAGTTAATATTCCCAATTGAATAGTTTAATGAATATTGATTTAATCTGTCATTCAGCAATCGAGCACATTCGTGAGCTTCATATTATTGCCACCTTTTGTCAAGAAGTAGCCGATTGGTCCTGTTAATTTCCCCATCGATTTCTTTTTCTCCAGCAGTTTCCATAGAACTGATTTACTAAATAGCTTGGTTTATAGACAAAGCCTGTCAATAGTGTAACTCAGGGAAATCAAATTTCTCGTCTATCTATTCATAATCACGATTCTCCTTTAATCTTCTACGTATTTTCCTTCAGTTCTTCACATGAAGATTGAAAATAGGATAGCATCACATGGCTGAAACTTAATTTCATTCTTTCATATCGGCTTTTGCCATATATATATTACCGATTCCCGTCTAGCACCATTATCTGAGTTTATCTCAGATAAGCATTTTCGCTGATTGGTGTCCAGCAGGTGAGTAAATAATAAGAGTGACGTGGATATATGCCTTTGAATAAATTGTGGATATTCGTTTAATTCAGTGTAATTATTGAGGTTTGTGAGTTGTAGCTTGTTTGGGAGTTTAATAAGATTATGGAAGTTTGAATCCCGCCTCCATTTGTTTTAATTCACTTCGAATTCAATGAATAAATTATGAAGACCTGGTAAAGTTTATTAAAACACACAGGGGAGGGGTTGGAACAACTTTATGTCAAAAGCATACCAACTCTTATCTTCCCACATGTACCTTGGCTAGTGGGAACTAGCATCGCATGGAGATTTAAATGCTAAGCTTCCAAATTAACAGCCAAGGCAGTAAGCAGTTAATTCCCTAAAGTAGATCTCTCTTTTTTCTCAGAAATCCATTACGTAGCTCTGGTGAGAATTTGAACCAATAAACAGCCCAATAAGCAAATAGGTTATAACTCTGGATCAAATAGAACAGGACCTTTATTCATAACTAAAATGGGGATTCCTTTCCAATCTGACCCTTATTAACATTTTACTTCTATCCATATTCTGTTGCTTCCCTCCGACCAAAAATCTTAAATTTTGTAGTGACTAAAATTTTTATAATGATGGTAATAATTGGAAGCCTCAGAACGTTACATTTATTAGTATTTCAGACTTTCAATGGTTTATTTAAAAGTTAGGCAAAAGTCCAATTCTTATATTTAAATGTTTCGATTAAAATGAGAAGAAGTAAATATTTTTTATAGTTTTCACAATCAATAACGATAAATTTCCTATTTTCAGATAATACCCGGTGGTAGTCAGACAGCGTTCTAAATGTTTAGTTAAAAGCGGATAACCACATCTCCCACAAACCAATACAGAACTCTCCCATTTGATTTATGAAAGTGCCTTGGACAGCTGTGTTCTCGGTAGAATACTCCCCTAAAGTTTAACCATTAAAAGACTGTGTTTGTTATTTTGACGTTTCATAGCTCTTGCATCTGATAATCGCTCTCAACTAAATTAAGATTTGGGACGAACAAAATTACTGCATCTCAAAAAGTTTCACTCTCCAGACCTCTAACAGGTATGCATCCTTCTTTCAACCAATAATTGCATTCACTGGGATAGTGTTATAGCTTCAGACACGCTATAATTAAATTAAGGAGGATTGAATGCGTGTAGTCAATAGATTCCCGAATCAGCCTTTTCTTACAGCACGCAACTAAATCATCAGATGGCTATCGTTATACTCACATTCATGCCTTCACCAATGCACTTTTATTTTGTTTTTTTTTGCCAAGTTTTAATTAAAAATAGACGAAGCACGACCACTTTGGATTCACTATATTATTCTTCCCTTTTTTCGCTTTTCTAATTTATTGGTGCCTATTTTCAGATGGAATAGGAAAAGAATGAATATCAATTGAATAAAATTCGTGTCAATTTCTCTTTCAAATTTATTAAAATACGATGAGAATTACAAATGCCACCTAATTAAAAGAAATATGTCGCACACACATACACATATGTGAAGTAAAATTCTTTAGCATTCATGCTGCTTCTGACGTTACTAAATCGAATTTAAGTATTCTGTAAACTTGAAGAGGGTGGAAGAAATCCCCTTCCAAGGAATAGTCACGATGGTCCCAAATATTCGTTTTGATAAATTAAATGAAATATTGGAGCAGTTGGAGGCACTCTGGCTTAAATGATGGCCTTCACTGAAAAAATATAAGTAATATGTGTGAGGAATGATTTTCAGTCTAATGCGAAAAGTTTCAGAGGCTTTCATTTCGAAGCACGAGCCTAGAAAACCAATAATCGACAAATCACAGCATAGTGATGAAATCTACGAAGTCCCTTCAATGCAACAAGTTGTCAAATCGAACGATTCCTTGTAGATAAATCACACGCTCAGAGGCTACTAGAATAGAAATAATATTCGCTACAAGTGAATTAAATGTTTAATATAGCTTCGAGTTTGTAGGATATCATAATAAGAGGTTGAAAAGCTCGTCTTTTGTTTCAAGAAGAGAAATAAGAAAATATCATTTTTATATAGTCTATCTATCTTCAATAAATTTAAATTTTCCCGATTTTAATTCTGATATTATTGAATTCGGCTATTTCACGAGGAGGACTCCATTTGATTACTTTCGAGAAGAAGAAGAAGAAGTTGGAACATGCACTCATGTAATAATTTGAAATCATGGCCAATTTTTGTGAAGTTACCCCCCCCCCCCCCCCCCCACCCTTTCTGTCTCATCAACTAAGGGGAGCAAAATTTGCATTCTAATGCCAGTCGCCATCTCCTTCCCTTCTTAGTGCGCACTTTCACTTCAAACCTCCAAACCTTCAATGAGAAGCAAACAGAAGTATGCCGCAGATTAATGTGATTTCTTATTTACTGGCCAAAATCACGATTCCATGTGCCTGTTTAGGAGTTGAGTCTGGCAACTCATGCCAGTAAAATAGTTTAAGAAATATTGATTGAATGCCGTATTAAGGAGAAATATTACTCATGACTAGAATTCATTATATTAAAGAAAAATTGACAAGGTCTTTGTTGTCAGAAGCAATTGAAATCGGCCAACGGAATGTCAACTGTTTGATAGGGAGGGAGAGAGGGGTTAGTAAGATACGGAAAACAAAGTAGATTTTTTAAATTGTTTTTTTCCTTGGACTGGAGTGGTACAATACTAACTGGATGGATGGTTCAGGTTACAAGATCTATCTTTTACTCTTTGAGCCCTGTCAATGATATTCAGGGCTACTTGATCGGGGTCATTTGATCAAGAAGGGTCATGCAAACGCTTCCTTTCATTTATTTTCTGCCTTTATGTAATTCATTAGGCTGGGGTTTAGTGACTATAATAGATTTTTAAGAATATATATATATTTGCTTCGTTTCCTTTCATTTCGTTAATTTTGTCCAACTGTCAATACTACTGCTGTGTTGTGACTGGCAGCAGCTCTTAGGTCTCCAGAGTAAAACGCTTCTACCATGACCTGAAAACCGATTGGCATCTGCTATGTCTAGCGAAAAATGTCTAAGAGCTTATTTATCCCTTTTAATTGCAAAAAATCTAAAGACCCCGATCCGCTCTGGCGGTCTGGGGTGAATTTAATTCAATTCTAAATGATTTGATCGAAATTTAAACTTTTCAATAAGTACACGTGGAACTTCTTTCCATCTCTCTTCTGAAGGCAACCCCGACGTTCTCCCCGACTCAATTCCAAATAGCAGATCCCTAGTTCCTTGCAATATTGGCAACGAAAGTTCAAAGGGCTTTTTAAACGCCGCACATGGATCCTTTCGATGCCCAACTGGGTACATCTGTAAGGGCTACTGGGAAGGTCCCAATTTCGGCATCACCAGCTTCGATAACATCGGCTATGCCATGCTGACGGTCTTTCAGTGCATCACTATGGAGGGGTGGACGGATATTATGTACATGGTAAATTGCTCCCAGTCAGAGGTGGCCTCCGTTTTGCCTTGGTTTCACTTATTTTAAATGCCATGCTCTCTCTCTATTGCAGACATTTGATGCCGTTGGTGATAGGTTTAGTGCTTTCTACTTTGGCCCCCTAATTGTACTCGGCTCCTTCTTCATGCTCAATCTCATTCTCGGTGTTTTGAGCGGGTAAGCAACATCGTTTCTTCACCTATGCTATTTCGATTTTTTCTCAAATTCACATTCCTGTTAACGCCCCCACATCTTTAGGGTCTCACGAATACTTTTTTTCTACTTTACATCCTCTCTACCCTGCACCTCCTTCATGATTTCATCACGAAGGATCATTTTGATCTGACTTCCTAAGATTATGAATTTGAGGCAATCCCGAGAATGCCAAATATAGAAAGTATCACTGCAAATTAATTGATAGAAAATAAGAAAATGCGAAATATTGATCCAAGACTAGAATAAATTCATAACCATTTAGGATTATCACTTTTCAAAGCACTCTAAGTGTGATTTTCTCAAAATTGATCGATTTTGATATTTCCCTGTAAATCTCAAAATTTGTTAGTTAATTGATTTTTCAAAAGTACTTTTCGACTTGAGGTTTGATATAAGAAATTTGAGCAGAGCTGTTTTTTCCAGTGGGCTTGTAATTAATCAATTAATTACCTCCACTGTGGTCTGAGAAGATCTTTTCCCCATTTTTATTATTTGTTAATATATATTTAAAAAATGATCCAACTAGAGCTGAACTTCTACTGCTTGCTTTGTTTCAATATTCGACAGAGAGTTTGCCAAGGAGAAGGAGAGAGTGGAGAAGAGAAGGGCATTTTTGAAACTGAGGAGGCAGCAACAGACCGAGAAAGAATTTGGCGGCTACATGGATTGGATTCAGCACGCAGGTACGTAGAAAAATAAACAGAAGACAATGTAACCCTTAAATTGTCTGCTTGAGTACTTTGTTTGGGTACTTTCTAATAAGAGAGGGGAACGGAAGGGACTCGTTTGGCCTGTTTCATTATTCCGTGTATTGAATTCCCACTTCTTTGTTCCTTGTGAACTGTTGGCAATAAAATGCATAAAAAATTTCGTCATGCAATAATAAATTTCAATATGTTAAAAATAAGTAATATGTACTACTCTTTATTGAGTGCACATGGTGCTAAATCCATTTGTTTTAAATAAGTAAAAAATTTATTTTGTTTTTCGAACACTAAATTGAATAATTCTGTTAAACTTAGAAGAAATTCCAATTTCATCTCTCCTGTACTGGATTAGCGATTACTGGATTCCAACGCCCAAACCTGGGCATATTTAAATAACCCACCACCCATTTATCGCCTATTTTATCACTACGTAATTAAATTTAATTTATTAAGAAACCACTGCTGTGGAATATGGCTTCCCTTTTCCCTGTCGTTGAATTTGAGTATCCGTGGCTTTAATAAAGTGCAAACGAGAAATTATAAAAGTAATATTTCTTTACTAATTACAAAGAGATGAGAGTGATATTTTTTCAAATTTTGATCCTGAAATGCAAAGAGGATTCTTGCGCATCGGGAGTGGTCGTTTAGTATCTCTTCGAGAGTACATAATTGTTGCCAAACACCACATCTCTCAATCTGAGAAGTATTGCTAGTTTGTTATTACACTTTTTATAAAGCTGAGCTTTTTTTTCCATTTGGCAACAGGAGCCGTTCATTCTCCAATGGCATATGTTCATAAAAATGGGTGATCGTGCCTTTGTTCGGTTCCAAGTTATTAATCATATTAGTTCACTGATTGCGGCAGAATAAGCGTACTTATAAAAAAAATAGAATATATATATATATATATATATATATATATATGAGTATCAATAAAGTTGTTCGAAAGAGATAACGGACAAATTTTGGTCTCTTTTCAGGTCAAGATGCTAATCTGGCCTCGATATAGTACTCAACTTCAAAATTAAATTTGAGCAATAAGTCGCTATTTTTTCTACTCTGATTATGGAAATAATTATGCCATAATTGGTTTCTTTTAACATATTATACTCACTTTTAGGAAAAAATTATCCTTAAATATGCACTGCTTCATTACAAAAATTTTGCATTTTGATCTCAACCGCCTAAAAATAAATTTCGATTTTTCTCTCAATAATCATCAAAAATAGGCTAAAGCATGGAGCCTACGTATTTGGAAGCTATTGATAGTAAAAAAATAAGTTAAATTAGCATTAGTGCGACTTATAGTTATTATCTAAGATAAATGAGCATAAAAATGCTCATTTAGTAAACCCGCTCGATGGTGTTAATTCAAATGAGTAATTTGTGTGTGTGTGTGTGTTCCGGTTTCACTGGAGACCCTTGAGAGTACCGATGAGTACCTAGTTAATCAGGAGTGGTGCTTAGAGAGAAACACACTTCCAAACACCTCTCTCAGAGACCGGACTTAACCCGTGGTTCCTCTCTCTCGTACTATTGGATGTGCAACGATGTTAGTTGATCTCTTGTCTCCTCACTGAACTTCCCATTCGCAATTTTTCTTGCTCTTTGAAGTATCCCATCCCTTGGGTAATTCCGCTCACCAGTACAAAATCTTCAAAATGCCTGGAAGACGTATCAGTGTTGCTCTTGCAATGAAGGGCACAATATTCTCACAACATAAAGATTCAATTTCTATTAAGTTTCAAGACATTTTAAGAATCCAGAAATGGCGCAGTTCATTACTCTCATTAAATGGTTATCTCCACTATGATGCCATAGCATTCACTTTCAGTTAGCATTATCGGCAATCACCGTACTCTCATTCTAGACTGAATGCTGATATTTTCGCATCAGCTTTTAGCGCATTTGATGAAATCCTGCTTGATCTAATTGAAATAATGGATATCCATTGAGAATGAATACAGAGTGTATGTGATCAGGGTGATTTAAAGAGAGTACAACTTCAGTAGCATTGGTCAGCACTTCTTCAATCCAAGTCAAGTCAAGCACTCTGCCGATCCGATATTTGCAGCCAATTAGTCTGTGTAATCACTATCCCACTCAAACAAATCGTGCGCTTTCAAAATATTCACTCTCTTAGCAAAGCTCAATATTTGTCTAATGTGTGTGGGTGTAACATATGGCGAATATTCTATTTGTCTATTTGAACAATTAACATCTGCACGCATATAATGGCCCTAGCAATATCACTCGTTTTGAGTTATTGTTTTGAAAGCAGTCTCTCACAGAGCTCTTACTTTTACTTTATATGGGATCCTGGACGATTTGTTAGATCTCATTTAATCGCAGAATTCTTTACATCTTTCAACTATAACAAAACACGTTTCCCTTGATTCGCACCACAATACTTGATACAAAAAGCATTTTTGTACCCTAAATAGGACCTTTCGGTTTTATATTCACCTTATACCTATCATAGTATACTCGTCTTCCAAACCATTTAGTCATGTAGGGCTCATATAATGGTGGCAAGGATTCATTTTTTTGTAGTATTGAATATGACATACTGTCGGGTCATGGTAGTTTGAAGTCAGAAGTCAACTGCCGATTAATAGACTTTTTTGACGTATGAGAATACGTTGCCCAGGGTGCACCATATAGAGGTAAGTCTATCCCACACCCCCAAATAATAGGCATCAATCCCGTTCTCCGGTCGTACCATTTTAAATGGAAGGACAAAGTTTCTAGCAAGGTGTGTGGGGCCAGTAGATCATCTTGAGCAAATTATTTGAAGTTAAATGTTGCTGATTCGGAATTTGGCTCAATACATCCTATTCTTAGTTCTTATTAACGTATATCTTCAGTAATCTATGAGCCTGGTGGTGTTAGTACAAAGTAGGGGGAATGTGGAACCTCTCTTCGTAAAGGAATTGCGATGGATCTCTCTCATCTTCAATTCGCAAAAGACACAATTTGTGGCTTTCCTAAGCAAATACTTTTCTCATGCTCAGGCAAATTTGTCTGAGGATAGTAAGGGCAGAAAGTGAGATTGGAGGCTGTGACCTGTTGCAGCAATAAAATTCCTTACTGAGGAAACGAAATTTGGGGAGGGGGGGGGGTTGATAAAATGTGACATGACTAAACTGCATGGTGTGAGGAGTTTACTTTTTTTGCCATTAAACAATCTGCCCAAAGACGGGGAAGTGAACAGAGTCTACCCACTGATTGTCTGCAACCTCTCTTCAACCCCTTTTTTTATTCTACTTACAGAGGAGGTTATTCTTGCCGAAGATACCACTTCTGCGGACGACAGAATCCGTATAATAGCAGGTAAGCTTGCACTTCTATGTCTAGATTTTGCCAATTGATAATTTAAAAAAATATAAAGATGTTTTTTTTTAATTTTCTACCTTTTATTATTGCAAATCATCTAAAATCTGAATTATCAAAAAGAATACCGAGAATTGTAAACTGGAATTCTGTGGGATGGTTAAAATCCACCTACTTCTACCTATTTATATTAATAGTATTAATTAATAAGGGAAAGATAGTATATCCGTGCTCTACTAGTATCAAAGTTAATTAAATTCACACTTTCAATAAGTTTGAGAATGATTCAACCTATTTGAATTCCAGTTTGATTTATCAATTTTAAGCGGATTGTCATTATTTATAATGCTTTTGAGGCCTATTAAATTTAATTGTTTCACAATTCCATCCTGAGTCATTTAACTTGCCCTCATACTAAAAGAGCAGTTACTTTAATCCTGTAGATATTCGATTTATAATCGACAATAGTATCAGTAATTATTTTGCCATTACTTTTCTCTATTTATTTCAAACATACTATATCCCTTTATCAGTTATCAGCACTAAGTTGTAAGATCTTAAAATGTAAAGACCACTATGGTCATGATCGTACTTTTTTAGTATTTCAAATACCCCTCAAATAATAGAAAGAGTACTTCAAAGAAATTTTGAACTTTACTAGATTTTAGAATTCGAAAACTTGTAAAATTAACGACATTGAGACAATCAGTTGCCTATCTTCCAACTTCGCTTTATAACTGTTTAAATCACAAGCACGATTATGTCAATACAGTCGGGGTATAATTAATGGCTCCACTCATGTTATTCCTGATGGAGGGTTGATGTATTTCAGCATTGTTGAGTCGTAATATGAACTGGTTTATATGTCACTTGGTGCGTTATTCTTAGTGACTCCCCCCCCCCTCCCCACCCACCCCACCCCCCT